CAAAAGATTGTTTCCTGCTTGGCAGGGGGTTGGACTCGATGGCCCTTGTGGTCTATTCCAACTCTATGATTCTATGATTCTAAAATTTCCCTCCTACTTGAGGTGGTGGTAGATATAACATTCTCATCCCCATATATCTGCATATTTACAAAATTTATAAGTTGTACCATAGAAATGCAGTGGAATATGAGAAGAATTAGGGATCAAGACAGGCTGCAACATGTGGATGTAGGTACTATGCAAAGCCCAAGTGAGACATCAATGATTTGAGGCACTTCAGGTTGCCTAGGGGCAATTGTGAGTTCTGGATCAGATAGACTCTTGACACCGGGGTACCAGTGAATAGTCTTGCCCTACTATTCCTTACTTGGTTCGGCTTGCCTGAACATAAACTTTTGCCTTATACTGCTGAGCTGTCACTTGGAATGGAACAATGGTTTTTATGTAGTATCATGTTTTAAACAACACGGCTGAAACATTGCTTTATTCAGATGGTTTTATATCATATATTTTTGTGGCAGAATGTTGTACAGTGCCTTGTGAGGGCCACGCACCCTCGGAGGTGGTTTAGAAATCTCCGAACAAGCAAACCACGAAGTCTTTTGTATGCATTATTATTTCTTATAAATTTTCTTATTCTATTCTGACTTTTAGCTCATTTTTTTTGGAGAATCTAAGACTTTGTTATGATTTACTAATAAACATGTGAAAGAACTGGTTTCAAGAGAAGTACTGCACAAAAATACTACTTATTTTGGGTGAGTGATGAAAAGTTTATATTGAAAGAAACAACAAACTGGAGTCAGAGATTTTTAATGTTACCCAAGTCAAGCTGTGAAACCTGATACAGTACATGTTTGTTTTGCATCATTTGCAACAAAGTACTATTACAAGAAAGCACTCTGACAATGGACCACTTCCTTGTAGTATAAAGGTCAAAAGAATCCTGTGTTTGGTAGCTGTGATTGACATATCCTTTGAGAAATTGCTATTCATTATAACTGTCACCTGCAGAAACTTCAATCCAAATTTTCAAGCAAACCTGCCAGAAACATGCAACAGAAGGAGGAAAAAAATAGCAATAGCAGAAGAATTCTGGACTTGATTAAAATGAAAGCCAATGAAACTATAATTGCCCAGCATATGGGAAGGCGTATAGTACACTACTGGGGGAAAATAAACAGAGTCATCCATGCTGCATTTTCCAGAAACTGGTGTCAAAATAAGTTTCCTTACAATCCTTGTGGGGACCACAAACCACTGAAATGGGAATTATAGGACATTATTCTTTAAACACATTATTAAAAGACTTAAGTCCTGTACAGATAAAAACACAGTAGAATGAATATGTGGGGAGTTGGGAGATAGCCAGGGCAACCTAATCAGATGGGTGTGGTGGTATTACTAATCATCAATCACCAAACACTAATTAATTATTAATTATTTCTTCTTGACCCCACCTTCCACATGTTTCTTCAAATAGAGCATATGTATGTACAAGGTGCATGGAAAATCTATACCCTGTGAAATCTCTACCTTGCAAGCATGCTGGGTATAATTGCACGTGTACCTTGTCAAGTCTATGCACCTAATATAGGAGGTAAGGAGGAAATGATGCCAATGGGTGAGATGCTGGCCTCCTATCCACACACTGATTTTACCTAGACCTCTTTCAAAGTGGAATGAGGGGTGGAAGAGCCTGCCTTTCCCAGACAGCTATAGGCAACAGCAGGAGGCATTAGACGTCTTCATTATAACTAGCAGAATCAAAACTGAGCCAGAGAAGGTTAGTGAACTAACAATATCAATGGCTCTGGATCAAAAAAGTATTTGGATGTAGTGATAAATAATCAAAGGGGCTTCTGAAAGATCTGGGGCTCAGCCTAAATCATGCAGTAAAGGCACGATAAGCCAGTGGAACAGATTGACTGAATATACAATAAAAGGCATTTACCATGGATTTATCAAGTCAATCCCATTTTGTTTTATCTGAGCATATTCTAAGTGGCTAAGAAGAGCATGGAAGAGCAAGATAATCACAAGAGAATGGAAATGTATTTTTGAAAGAAGACTTAAAGGAATCAGTAACAGAGAATCTAGTTGGTGCATACATAAGTGCCATATGAAAGCAAGTGCTGGTTCATATGGAGCTGTCTTACTCACACCAATGGTCCATTGAGCTCAGTACAGCCTCCCCAGACAGACAGAAACTCTCATGGTTTGCTGGAAAAGACATTTTCCAGTCCTGGTACTGGACATACTTTTGGCTGGGGATATTCATTGCCAGATTACCAAATAGGTAGAGTAGGCACTGGCCTATGGGCCTATTAGGGGCTCTGCAACAATGGATCAAAATAATATTTATTTGCTCTTGAAATAAAATTACAAAAAGTATTCAGATATAATTTGCAAGCCCCCCCCCCCGAGATTTCGACTACCCAGGGGCCTCCCCAGGGTTTAATCCGGCACTGAGGATATTAGGAACTGAACCTATAAAAAGAGTGTGCTATATCACCAAGCTATGACTGCTCCCTTAAATGTACAACACATATTCAAGTGCAATAATTCAATGTTACTATGGGCTTATCTAGTTATATGTGATTAAATGTTCTCTAATATTTTGGAGGGACGGGGTGGCGCTGTAGATAAAAGCCTCAGCGCCTAGGGCTTGCTGATCGAAAGGTCGGCGGTTCGAATCCCCGCGGCAGGGTGCGCTCCCGCTTCTCGGTCCCAGCGCCTGCCAACCTAGCAGTTCGAAAGCACTCCCAGGTGCAAGTAGATAAATAGGGACCGCTTACTGGCGGGAAGGTAAACGGCATTCCGTGTGCTGCGCTGGCTCGCCAGATGCAGCTTGTCACGCTGGCCACGTGACCTGGAAGTGTCTGCGGACAGCGCTGGCCCCCGGCCTCTTGAGTGAGATGGGCGCACAACCCCAGAGTCTGTCAAGACTGGCCCGTACGGGCAGGGGTACATTTACCTTAATATTTTGGAAACATTCACACATATGCACACAGTCCACAGATGTTATTTTGCCATGGACAAAGCCAAGTGCTAGCTCAGCCAATGAAACTTCCCAATATACACCTTGCTCTCTGGTGCTTGATTGAGCATATCTTGGCAAAATTAGTCTGTCTTATCACTATGGATAACTCAGCTTCTCCACAATTGTCAAATTGCCTCTTTGTCATGTTCCACAAGTTGTCATGTTCCGCATTTAATTCAAAAACTAAGGTTTTTTCCCCCTAGCTCTGCTCCTCTCTGGCTCTGTGTGATGGCCTGGGAATTGGATTCAGAGGCTGAACATGAGGAATCCCAGCCTGTAAAGGAGTCCCTGCCTCCAGGGCAGGCTGAGCCAGGGCCGGGGCTTGAATCTGAAGGGCCCTCACCTGTGCTGGATCCTCAGGAGCAGACACCAGCTGAATCTGCTCTGGCTCCGGAGGTGATCGAGTACCCATTGCCTGCTGGTGCTCCTCTCCCAGCCCCGTCAGGGGAAGGTGAGGTTGTCTCTGGGTCCAGTAACCCTCCAGACTCTCCTGAGCTGCAGAGGCTTAGGGCAGAGAGGCGGAGGGAACTAAGTTCTCGCAGGAGGAGTGATCGCCTCCAGGCCAGGAGAGGCGAGTCACCTGTGGACCGGGGCTGCCCTATGCCTCAGAGGAGATAAAGGCCAGTCAGCCCAGTCCCAGATTGCGGGAGCAACATTGTTGGTTATTTGTTCCTGCTGGCACCCTGTCCTGCTTTCTGCCAGAGTTCCTGACCATGCCCGACTCCCTGCCTTGGACCCCGCTTCAGCCTTGGACCGGACACAGACCACGCCGCATTGTAACCACCCCCATCACTATATATTCATTCTAACCCACATTTCTTCTCACACCCTCACCTACTGCATCCACTTGATTCTGTTACGGCATCTCCTTTACACAATTGAAGCCAAGCTTCTCTATCTTGATATTGATGATAAATCCTTGGTGCATGGATCATGCAATTTTTATCGCCTGGGTACTTGCTAATACAATGTAGGAGCTAAATATACATTAAAGTGAGTTAGGTCACCACAGTTACAGCCCTTTGGGGCACTTTTTATATGGTATATACTGATGCATTTTATCTTTTCTTCTTTATATTTATGTTTTCAGACTTGTTATCATAAAGTATCATATCCAAGCAAAACCTTTGTGAATAGGGTATATTATATGTCTATAGCAATGAATGTATGAATAAATGATTAATCCAACATAGTACACCGCAAAGAACAAAACATGAAAATCTTAATTCCACTTAAAAAGTGAGGTATCAACACTTGAATTAAACATGACTAAGGAGGTGATTTTTTTTTAACCAAATCAACACCTAAGGCGTTAATAATCAGGCCAATAAAAAATATCCACTGACTGCATTATCTGCTCTCAGATGTGGAAATCCTTTAGTGTTTTAGCGATGTCTTTGGTGTACTGGTTTAGAATATATATGACCTATGCAGCACACCAAGTGAATTATATTTTCACTATAAAGTCAAATGTTACACTTCCCACCAAGGTTTTTACTCTCTAACAACCATGCATTGAGTGATATAAATGCAGTGCACATCGTTCATTTTAATGCGTTATGCTACACCATAAAGAAAAGGAAATATAGGGAAACATAAAGCCACAGATTCACATAACAGGTGTCTTCAATCAATTGTTACTGCTTTTTCTGCACACTCTAAACACAAGATCCACGTTATTTCCATTGTGCAGGAAGTTTGGCATTGAATCTGGCAATCTTACAATACCGTTAAAAATGCTTCTAAATGTGGACCCCCTTTCACTTTCCAGTCTGGGGTGTAGAGGAACTCTCTTGAACTACTGGCACTTTCAGTTGACATGAGGAGCATCAGGGTAACAGCCTTCCTTACTCACAGTCTTACATGTTTCATTAAACGGCTTGGGTTTGAAAGCTCACATTCCTAAATGGTACTTTTGCAAATGCCCGAATTACGACAGAAGCGCTTTTGTCATTACCTTTGTTGTGTAAGTATGTCCATCGGAGCCACAAACCGCACTGGCATGCATCAGAGGGCATGGCTTGCATTTTACTAAATTAGCTGGTCCATTCCAGTGCCTCTGGGGAAGGTTTCCTTTCTTTTGCCGAAGGCTGGAAGAGAAGGCGGGGGTCTGTGTGAATGTGATAGACAACTAAGACAAGTCTCTGCCAAATCGAAGCCTGAAAACAATCTAAATTTTGTGCATGGAATCCTTTTGGATCTAATTCTGCCTAAGCACATTTCAGGGCCAGCTAAAGGGTGAATTTATAATTGTTGGCAAAGCAATATTGTTTATTTCCAGTAGTTATATAACAAAATGATTACTGTTGTTGGTTATATGAGAAAAACAATAAAAGCCATAGGAGACAGAAGTAAATCATAAACATGAAAACTAGCAATAGCATAAAAACAGCATATAATAACAAAAAAGCACCACCAGCAACAACAACAACAACAACAATAATAATAATAATAATTTAAGGTACAGTAATAACAATGTGGATGATAGGGATATCCAGAATGTATTTTATATGTTTTAGATAAGAGATTGATGTACTGAATGGGAAAGTGAAGCTAAGATTATGCATAGTAAAGGGTAAAGGGACCCCTGACCATTAGGTCCAGTCGTGGCCGACTCTGGGGTTGCGGTGCTCATCTCGCTTTATTGGCCGAGGGAGCCGGCGTACAGCTTCTGGGTCATGTGGCCAGCATGACTAAGCCACTTCCGGCGAACCAGAGCAGTGCACGGAAATGCCGTTTACCTTCCCGCCGGAGCGGTACCTATTTATCTACTTGCACTTTGATGTGCTTTCGAACTGCTAGGTTGGCAGGAGCAGGGACCGAGCAATGGGAGCTCACCCCATCGCAGGGATTAAAACCACCGACCTTCTGATTGGCAAGTCCTAGGCTCTGTGGTTTAACCCACAGCACCACCTGCGTCCCAAACAGATTATGCATAGAGAGCTACAATTTTAAGTGGAAGCATTTTTTGTCTAGCATTCTCCCTAACATGTTATTAGAGGACATGCATGCAGAAAGCACCATATTTGAATTCTGGCATCATCAGGTAGGGTGAGAAAAGACTTTTGCCTGACACCCTGGACTGCAGTTGCCAGTCAGGGCTGCTAATACTCAGCTAGGAGGACAGCCTTACAATGTAGCTTTATATGCTTTTAAACTATTTTAGGGATTCTTCTAAAATGAAAAGTAACAAGAAGAAAACCCCATTCAGTATAACCAATGTTGACAACTAGCTTAATATTAAAGTTGGTATGTACGGAGAAGCTCATTCAGTTGATGAGTGAGCTAGATACTATGATTTTATATTTCTGTTTCCAGTGGCCTGCTATTTAAGGAATATATTGTTAAGCTGGTTGTTTTTTTTTAATCTCATAGGAAATATTCTAAAATGGGGCAATGCACAGCTGAGGTCACTCCTATGACTTTGTCTACTACAATGTTCACATTTCCTTGTGCGTTGCAATGTGCCCATTTTTGGATTATGAACATTTTTAAAGCTATTGAAAAGCCTGCAATGTGGATATGCTCTGGATATCTGAAACTTCAAAAATGAATGGCTATCTTGACTGTGTCATTGATGTTCTCACTTCTTCTCTTCAGTACTTTAACTGTTATATTATGGGGTTTCAGATCTAGGGTCCTTTTTAACTTGTCGGATTTTAGATTCTATATTGTGATATTGAAAGCCGCTGCTACCCCTGAATCACCATGAGAACTATGGCCTCCTTTTTCATACAGGAGTGAATAACACCATGGATAAAATAAAATTTGACACTTGGCAGTCCAATGTCCACTGACATTGTGCCCACCCTCCGATCTGTTGCAGTTGCACAATACTAAGATTCCTCTGTTTTAGTAGTTTTGTACATTTGCTATTTTACAGTCCATCAAATTATCATGGTCAACTAAATAAAATTGTATCCCTTCTTAGCATACAAGCATATCCACAATGTCTTGGTGCCAAGCAGAATTTAGCAATACGCAGGATTTGAAACCATTGTTCTGAAGCTGGCTACCGATCCTGCCCAAGAGAAATAAGAAAAATCAACCACTGCATGATTTATGAAATTAAATTTAAAGGGCATTCAATGAACAAAGTGCCATATAAATGTCTGTTTAAAAATATTATATTTATATCTAAAAATTAAATATAAACACCTAAAAAATAGGACTGGCATTCCTGATAGAAGCCTTTTAAATAATTGTCAAGGGTAACGCCAACTCTGTTTTTAAGATTCATTTATATTTTGCATAGTTGTGCTAGTTAAGTATTATTAAGGTTACTAAATGTTGTTTTAGGTTGTGCTTTTCTATGATCGCTTTCAGTATATCTGGTCTACAAATCATAACATCAAATACAGTACATACAGTTATCAAGACAAAACATGCATGCACCTTTTAACATGAGAGTATAAGAAAATCCATGAATAATCAGAAAGAGTTATAAATAGAGATAATGTCTATTGTCAATTTGGTGCCTGCTATAGTCATTCCTTCTAAAAGCTTTAGCTCAGATTGGTATCTTTGTATAAAAGTTACAGTATAGGAGGACATGAGCTATTGTTTCAATTGAGCTGTTTTTGCAAGGGACAAACTGTCAAGTGCCAAGGCAAGCCTGGCAAATTGACCCTAAATGCTGATAGCAAAGCACTGAACCAGCACATGGAAATGTTCTTCTGTTAGCTAGGGATATTCAAAATTGCTAAATACCTAGCAAATCAATTATCTCTTTTAGGTTCTAGACTAAAGGACAGTGGTGAAAAAACCCCACCCCCAATATGTCAGACTTGACAAATTTTGCAAGTTAGAAGCCTCTTTAATGTAGCTGGTTGCTTTTTCTAACCCAAGTGACAGAAGATGGTGTTGACTTTGTCGCTGAATCCAGGAGCAAGTTGAGCTATCAAGAAAAAAGCCAGGGATAGGTAGTCATAATCTGTTGAGGACGAATATAGAAAAAGCCTATACTGCTGGGGCACCAAAGATCTCAAAAAAATAGTTTGTGTCCTCTCCTCTTTTGTGATTGATTGATTGATTGATTGATTCCTAATATGCACACCTGGATTATGTACATAGTTTTGGTAATTCCTTCATTTTGGGGGCACCTTCAAACTAAAAGTATATGCTCACCATCCTTTGCACAGCAGAACCTCAGCAACGCCACTGGAATAGTCCATGCACTCAATGCAATATTTTGAATTCAAAGTGACCAGGACAGAGTGGACTGAAAAGTAATTCTCAAGTATTTTCAATTACTAACTTGTTTTACGACACGCCCATTCAGGGTCCATTTGTATGTCTCATACCCTTTCGTAAAAAATCAGCCCTTTGTTTTTGTGTTAAAAAATAGAAATAATGAACCTGAATCCTACTTAAGAGTAAGCCCTGGCTAACATTACACCTAATCAAGGGTAAGGATAGGAGGGCATATGGAGGGAATATGCTCTAGTAAGGACAGAGGGCCTCCCAAGGTCTAATGGCCCACCCCTTTAACCATGATTGAGGGACTGTAAATATCATGTGTGAAGTAGCTCCATGTGTTATTGGCTTTCTAGATTTCATAACAATATATAAATTCTACCTCAAGCATCTGGAAGAAATAGTAATCCCACTGCTTTGCCCTAATATGAAAGCACATCAGAGCAGTTTAGCCGAGACAAGGAAAACATTTTAAAACATCACCGAATGCCTTTATCATGGTTTAGAAAACACATATGGATGCTCTTTAAAGCAATTTTGCCTCAGTTTGCAATTTGCTGCACAATTCAAACTCTCTTGTAATATCACACTCAGCTGCTAAAATAATAAAAATGCTATTCTTTCATTTCAGTTAAAGCTTTCTTCTGCTTGAGCCTTTGTCACAGTGATAAATAGCACTATTAGGAAGCTTGCATCTACAGAAGCAACCCCATCACGATATCATAAAATAAAAAAGCCAACCAAAAAGAGAGAGAGACAGAGAAGCCTACAATCAAAGCCTTAGTATCAAAAACCAGTTCTGTCAGTATATAGCAGTGTTAATCTTCTAGAATGCATTCACTTTCCTTAACAAACTAACTCCTCATTAATTAAGATAGGTGAATAGTAAAATACTCTGGATTGAACCAAAAAGGGTGAGGTATACACATTAAAATTTCTGCAAATGATTTGTGAAATCGGGTGGGTCCAAATTCGTAAAGCTGTGAAGCTACCCAAATATTACAACATGTCTACATTGTTGCGTGAAAGAATGCCTGCAAAAATTTAAGTATCTTAAAAATCATGCCATATAATCATAGCTAGGAGGCAAAAGCACAAGAAGCTGTGACTACCAGGGACCTGAGATCACAGGAGCAGGAGCATTAGGGGGAAGAAAAGTTTGCAAGCCATATGTGCAACCCACACACAGTCCCCTTGTGTAACTTGCACATATGTTTTTCTGTACAGAATCTTGCAAGAAGAAATCAACAACTCCATCTTATGGGTTGGTTAAAAAAAATAAATTTTAGTTGCTGTGGTTGCAGATTATTAAGTTGCCAATTAACTTGAACATTTCAAAAGGTGGCATTCAAGTTCATCTTCTACTCTAATGAAATGCCCTGGTTAGATGGCTACTGAGCAGTGTCATGCTTTGCATGGTTTTTTGGTGTTTTTTTTTAAGCAACATGTTTGTTGCTATTTGGTTGAACACATGCTGTGAAAGTGCTAACTTCCAAACATAGTCTAAGGCTTCTTTCAGACTATACTCTTTTGTAGATGATATTCAGTACTCTGCCAGCAAATTTCAGTTGTGCAATTAAAGCAAATGTGGCCCTCTTGCATACAACAACATTTCTGTGGTAAGAAAAGTGACAGGAAAATGAACTGGAAAGTGTGGGATGACAGCAATGTCATATTACCTCTAAGCAACCAAAGCAGAATGAATGCTCAATGAGCAACTTGTCTGGAAGAGCCCTAAAACTAGAAACCAGTTGAAAGAGGCATTTAGTCCCTGAGGTGTTCAACATTGCTTTTGTTTCAAAAAGTCCAACCATGAGGGGTCATAACCTTCTACTTGTTCCTTCAAGCTGATGATCGATTGAGTCCTACCACGCCACATCCATCTCTTTCCCAT